AGATGCTGCTCAAGGGCTCCGGCAAGCTGGTGCTATTAGACAAACTGTTGTGTCGGCTTAAGGAGACGGGACATCGTGTGCTCATATTTTCACAGATGGTTCGAATGCTTGACGTGCTCGCTGATTATCTGCAGAAGCGACATTTCTCATTTCAGCGCTTAGATGGCAGTATTAAGGGCGAGATGCGGCGTCAGGCGTTGGATCACTTCAATGCTGAGGGTAGCCAGGACTTTTGCTTCTTGCTATCAACACGCGCCGGCGGCTTGGGCATCAATCTGGCCACAGCCGATACAGTCATTATATTCGATTCGGATTGGAATCCACAGAATGATTTGCAAGCGCAGGCGCGTGCCCATCGCATTGGCCAAAAGAATCAGGTTAACATATACCGCTTGGTCACAGCGCGCTCCGTCGAGGAGCAAATTGTGGAGCGTGCCAAGCAAAAAATGGTGCTCGACCATTTGGTGATACAGCGCATGGATACCACAGGCCGTACGGTGCTAGACAAGAGCGGCAATGGTCACTCCTCCAATTCCAATCCCTTTAACAAAGACGACTTGTCGGCCATACTTAAATTTGGCGCAGAGGAGCTGTTCAAGGACGAGCAGGAGCATGAGGAGGAGCTTGTTTGCGATATTGATGAAATCTTGCGCCGCGCCGAGACACGCAATGAAGACCCTGAAATGCCCGGTGATGATCTGCTTTCTGCCTTCAAGGTGGCCAGCATAGCTGCCTTCCAGGAGGACGAGCCAAGCGAGACGGCGAGCAAGGATCAGCAAGGAGCTGATGAAGAGGATGACAGTAAGGATTGGGACGACATTATACCCGAGGGCTATCGCAAGGTCATTGAGGATCAGGCGCGTGCCAAGGAAATGGAAGATTTGTACCTGCCGCCGCGCCGCAAAACAGCCGCGGCCAATAAAAACGATGCCGCCAAGCGAGGCACTGCTAAAGGTAGCGCACGCTCCAAACAGGGCGACGATTCAGCCGATTCCGATTATGAGTTGGGCTCCGATGCTAGTGGCGCTGGAGGCGAGGAAGGTAGTGGAAGGCAACGCAAACGCGGACGTCCCGCAATGAAGGAGAAAATCAATGGCTTCACCGATGCGGAGCTGCGTCGTTTCATACGCAGCTACAAGAAGTTTCCGGCGCCGTTGCAGCGCCTGGAGGCGATCGCCTGTGATGCGGAGCTGCAGGAGAAGCCGCTGGCAGAGCTGAAGCGGATTGGCGAGATGCTGCATGATCGATGTGTGCAGTTCTTAGACGAGCACAAGGAGGAAGAAATCAAGACTGTCAAGGAAGAGGATCAGCAGGGCAACAAACAGCGACGCACACGCGCTACTTACTCGGTTAAACTGGGCGGCGTGTCGTTCAATGCCAAAACGCTGCTTTCTTGTGAGGAAGAGCTGCAGCCGCTTAATGAGCTCATGCCTAGTTCAGCGCACGAGCGACAGCAGTGGACGTTTAACATTAAGACTCGTTCGGCCAACTTTGATGTTGAGTGGGGCGCCGAGGAAGACACCCATTTGTTGCGCGGCATTTATCAATATGGTATTGGCTCCTGGGAGCAAATGAAGTTGGATCCGACGCTCAAGCTCAGCGAGAAGATATTGCTCAACGACACACGTAAGCCACAAGCCAAGCACTTGCAGTCTAGAGCCGAGTATCTACTCAAGATCATCAAGAAGAATGTGGAGCTAACCAAAGGCGAACAGCGTCGCCAGCGGCGACCGCGCAAACTGAAAGCCAGCCTCAACTCAAGCACGACAGCTGTCAGCACGCCGGAACGAAAGGAGGGCGCGGCTGAGGAGGGTAGCTCCTCGCTTCCGGGCGATAGTAGTTCACGGCAGGTTGCTGATGGCACCAGCGTTGTGGCCTCGCCTGTTGCTGCCTCCGCAGCAGGGGCAGAGCACGCCAACGCACAGAAAAAGAAAAAGTCTAAAACCCGCAGTAAGAAATCAAGCGCATCCGACAACAATGGCAACAAGCCGATGCACTTTACGGCCAACAATGAACCTCGAGCTCTTGAAGTTTTGGGTGACTTGGATCCCAGCATTTTCAATGAATGCAAGGAGAAGATGCGACCGGTGAAGAAAGCGCTCAAAGCCTTAGATCAGCCCGATCTCAGTTTGTCCGATCAGGATCAATTGCAGCACACACGTGACTGTCTATTGCAGATTGGGCGGCAAATAGACGTATGCCTGCAGCCGTACGGAGAGACTGAAAAAAAAGAGTGGCGCAGCAACCTCTGGTACTTTGTGTCCAAGTTTACGGAACTGGATGCAAAGCGTCTGTTCAAGATCTACAAACATGCCCTCAAACAGCAAACACAAAAGGATGCCGCGAATGCAGCAGATGTTGATGGCGGCAAATCGAAACGGTCACGTACGGAAAACGGAGGCATTGCGGATAAGGAGAAAGAGCGTGACAAAAGTGGAAAGAAGAAGAAAAAGGACAAGGATAAGGATAAAGAGCGTCAAGGACGCTATTCAGGTGCACCTGCCGAGGACAAGTCAGCTCGCCGTTTTGCCAACGATTCGCCATTGAAACGAAAACGCGACGAGAACGATGCGGAGGCCAGCGGCATGGCTATGAGCAACGCTGGCATCAGTGATAATCTTAAGTCTATGTCGTTTAAGCGCCTCAACATGGATTCGGCATCCGCACGACATGGCAGCCATGAGGATCAGCGCAAGAAGCATCATAGAGGCGATGACTACTATGTAAGTGTGGGCGGCGGGGCTCCAAGTAGCTACGAGGGCAGCAGCGCACGCCGTTCGGGTCTCAATTCACCATCAGCTGTCGGCAGCAGTCGTCGCTTTGAGCCGCCGCCTGCGGCTTCGAGCTACGCAGCAGAGATGGACCGTTGGCATCAACGTGATCGGTACGTCCATGACATACATGCAGTCATCCATTTTCAAAAACTTATTCGACTTTTTTTTTTTTTTTTTAGCTACAACTTTGATTACAAACGTGAACGCTATGATTCACTATATTCTCGCGGAGGCGGAGGTGCTGCCGGTAGCGGATATCATCGCGACCATCGCGAACGCGATCGCGAGCGGCGACCAGACAAGCGCAGGTGAGTTTAGCTAATGGTGATTTTAAATATAAGATCTGTAAAGCCATCAAGTTCAAGGGCAAGTGCAAAAGGAAATTCCGTAAAATTTCCGCTTTGTAGCCCTTATTGTTTGGGCTAAAGGCAAACAGTTCATTACAAAATTTGTGTTTTAAAATCGATATTATACAATTTATTGCTAGATTCAGATTTGTTTCCTTAAATGTGAATTAATTGATTCTCGCTTGCAGATATCCATCCGCCCTGCCGCAGCATGCCTACTCGAGCCATTACCTACCGCCCAATTACTATTTGGCGAATGGCATGGTGCCTGGATTGCCGCCACCGCCACCGAGCTATCGGAACGAATCACGCGGCTATCCGGTCATGCCGCGCGACTATCCCGCTGACTACAGGCGCAGCGAATACGAGCGACGTACGCAGACGTGAGGAGGAGCAAACGTCGCTAGTTATTGTATATACATATAGGTTAGTTTTAAGCTTGGCTGTGGTGTCTGTGTCGGGCGCTGCTATTTGATAAGTCTTTCCGTAACGATCTTGACACAACGCAAGAGCAATACACTCAAACACACACACCTACATACGCAGGCAAACAAACACACACATAAATCACAAGCAATCAGAATACGCATGATACAGATTAAGAAACATACATAGCTAAACATATGTACAAGTAATATATAGCAGCTATTTATAAATTGTACTGTAAATTTAAATTATATATGAACCGCATATTGCGTACATGGCGGCGTTTCGGGCGAATCACGTAAATAAGATAATTTTACAATTTCCCTTGTATAAAGCATAGGCTTTAAGTTTTGTTCTTTACACCCTTTTTATACTGTACAGTTAATTACGGGCATATGCCACTTTAACAAGTCTTTTGAAAGCTTTGAAAATAACAAAAATTCTCACTATATTTATAAACACAACAATGAATAAAGCAATTATGTTAAATATCCAAAAAAGGAAAAACTAAACATTTTGTAAGTTTTCGTTTTTATGTTTGTGCATCATTTGCACTTTTATACACTATATACATATATATATTATAGAGAAACCGCCAGAGGAGTCGTGTGTATGTATTGTAGTTATTCTTAATCTAATAAATAGGTATATAACATATGTTGTAGTATCTGAAGTCTATAAATATGTATATCATTAAATTATAAAACATTACATCATATTTTTGAGTATTCAATGCAATTGGACGATGAAAGCAAGAATTTGTGCAACGAATTTTATAATTAAAATAACAATTAACAAATTGCCAAATCCAAAGATTTCATTTCGTATTATCTAACACAGTTCGGACCAGGGTATTTCTGGTTACATTTGGTTATTCAGAGCGGTAAGTTGAGTTGGGTTTTATATCTGCATAGTCTTCAGTACAAAAAGTTATGTCCGTCAAGCCATTAAATCTCTTTATTAAATTTAGGAACATTTCTATTTTAGTCTTCTACTTGCTATTTACTAAGTAATTTGACGACCAAATAGCTCCAACTTTCCCAGGCAAATTTATTAATACCATCTGCATTTTTTTTTTAACTACATAAAATCGTTCTAACATGTAGTTAGAACCAGCTCGTTTTAAGCTATGATAATGACAAACTGAATAAAGATTAAACTACGTATATTTTTATTAATTATATATATTTTAATTAGAAGACAAAGATTGATGTTTTCAAAGCTTGCAATATTCGAGAACATCTGAGAAAAAAATAAAGTTAAATTATGTGCAGTCACTGCAACTCAAAAATTGATGAAGCAGAGCTTATGTAAAATAAAATTACATAGTTACATATACATACGTATTCGTACTAATATTATTTAAGCATTATAAGCTAACGGAAACTATAAGGCTCTTCGCTTGGCTGGGAGCCGCTTTGGAAATGTAGCATTACAAATGCAAATTCGATTCTCATTCAATTTCTATAATACACAAATCGTTGTTATTTATGGACGTGCTAGGTTGATTGGTCGGAGGATCATTCAAGTCTGCCGAGTTGTGTTCGAGATTGAAGGTGTTGAAGTATGGCGAATCATGCTCTCTCGCAAGCGCTAATTCTGTCGAATGTGGCGTTTGAGAGTCTATGAAAAAGTCTGTAATGCAGTATAAATAATGTAATAGTTAATAAATAGAAAACATTGATTAAATAATAAGTGAAATTCAAATCAATTTAACTACTCCTAATGAAATGTGTCAAATGTACCTGACAATGATATGAACTTTCGTTTAGCTTGTTTATGATAGCTAATTCGGAACTGTGTGCGAGTGCGTGTGCGAGTGATTTAAAAGGCGACATCGTGTAATTCAGGTGTGGTAGGCATGATTTGTACTGTAAGAAACAGCTTAGTAAATTTTTTGATGGATCTAAACGATGCAAAAAAGCATGATGGTGACCTAATAAAATTAAGCGATTGATACTAACCCGATTCGACGCCGTTCCATTCGCTAACAACCGCATTATGGGAATGCTGCTGGCGGGGATTGGGATGATCCTCGACGGAGCCTTCGTATAGCTGTAAATCTGTAACCAGCTGGCCGTGCTCCGTCATTTCATCAAAATCAAATATTTCGGTCACTTTGACATGGTTGGTGCTATTATCAGTGTAGTAGTAGGCATATAAGGCGTCATTATGCGTGCTCATCTTGAGAACATGTTCAAAGTTATCAACATCCGCATTAAGTGGTGTAGCACCGCTGTAAATTAAACCACATTTTATACCAATAAATTTTAAAAGAGCCACCTTGAAAGACTCACCATTCATCAACCAGTATCGAGACACGCGGTCCATACAAGCGACTGGAGTGCAGCAGTCCTGTGGTGTCGAAGTGTGGCTGGTCATACAGCGGAAACTTACTAAAGAGATGCATTTGAATGGAATTATTTAGCTGCGATACGAGTTGTCGCATCTGCTTGGTTAGCTTCGGGGTCAGACTGGTTATTTTATAGACTGTCGCCAGCAAAAAGTCCATGGGCACTGTAGCTGGCAGCGAGAGCAGCTTAATGCCACGATGCCTGAAGATCCAGTTGGCCAGGCCCTTGTTGGCCTGCTCAATGTAGTCCTGTATTACGTCCAGCACTGTCTGAGGCATATTTGAGCTCAAAGCGTCCTGCAGAAAATTCACGAAATATATAAATTAGTATTTAAGTTGCTTTTGTGCTTCAATTTCTGATAGCTATGTGTCATTATTTTCAACGGAATAAATCGATTGCGGGAATACATTTGGCCATGTTTTATGTAGAATGGTAAACACACATCCGGTCTAGAATTGTTACGTACCTTTCTATGCTTTTTACATTCACGACACTCTGGATCAAATTCGGGTGGCTGGGCTACTGTTTCGGAGACAACAAAGGTTGACTGAACAGCCACACAGCGTCGGCAATTGATTAGATTGTTTCGGTGCAGAAACTGGAGGGCATCATCGAAGCCCTGCTGGCAAAACTTTGAGAGGAACTCCGGCCGTGGAGGGAAGAGAATACGCACAAATCGATTGACGTTTTGCCGTGAGATTTCTATGCTTGTGTTGGCCCAGTTGAAGTGGAACAGCTGTGAGCTTTGGTCACGCGGACAAATATCGCTCTCTCCGCAAAACGGGCTCACTGTGATAGTGTTCTCATCCAAGATGGGTAAATTGTTCGAGAAGGCGCCGTCCATGTAGCGTACACCGCGAAAACGTGGCGGCAAAATGCCAGAGAAGCCAGGAATGAAGCAGGCGCAAAGCAGCGCTTGAAGCACCTCCTCACGCGACTCGAACTCCGAGATGATGACGTTCTGGCCGTCATAGACGCTCGTCAGTGAGATGTGTAGGCGTCCATTGACACGCTTATGTGCGTCCTCGGGCAAATGCTTCTGTAGGCCCTCGAGCAGGCAGGTCTGGATGTTGAACGATGGACTGAAGGGACCCAGCGAATGGCGGCGAGCTTCGTTAACTACCCGGAAAAAGTCGGATGTCATGCTGCCCAATGGCAAATCGCAAAGCAAACAGCACGCGGCTAGAGAGCCAGCCGATGCCCCTCCAATTTTCTCCAGCAATAAATGTGGCTCATAGTTTTTAAAGCACACGGCCACACCGACATGATAAATGCCCAGAAAGCCGCAGCCAGCGAAGGACAAGTTCATAGTTCACTTCCTTTTATTATTGTGCGCTTTGTCAAGTACCGTTACTAACAATAAATTAAGCGTACTTCGGTTGAATGTCTTAATGCGCACACTTGTATTTTGATCTTTGTTACTTTTTGTGTGCTGTTTTTTGCAACGTAAATTGTTCTGATTCTTTGTTTGGGAACAGCTGACTGGAAGCAGTGACCCGACAGTTATCGAGTTGCCAACAAATAACTGTGACTGTACGCCATTTCGAGCACACAGTGAATAAATATCGATAAATTTGTACTTTGTACTGAATGCGACTTGATGTAATTAGGAATTTAATAAAAATTACGTGCGTTTGCGTTTTATTTTCTCAATAGAATATTTTGTCAGCGTGCATGACACCAAAAACCAGAATGCACAAGTCCAAAAATCTTAAAAATGAAAAGATCTTTTAGCACATTTTAATAATACTAAACTTTAGTTTGAACTTTTATAGTTGTAAAAATTATTAACACTACAAATATCTACCTAGATCCATTCACAATATCAATCCTAGTGTGACCACGCATATTAAAACGAAAGGGAATATTCAAAAAAATCCAGCTAGCTTTAAATTTATAAAATACACTTTTATTATTAGAATTCAATTAGAAGACATGTTTATGATCTCAACAAAATGTTCAAGTATAAAAATATATAGCACTTTAAAAACCACATTTACAATTTTTGCTATTTAAAACCGTCAAACGTTAAGACTATCATGCAAACATGCTAAATAGAAAAACTAAGAACTAGGTGCCTTGCCACCAATTGGTACGACATTGGCGAACGGAATTGCTTGCTCCTCAGCGAAGGCTAGGAAGTCCACACTGTAGCATTGGATGAGTTTTGTGAGCATAATGACATCCGCCTCGGCTTGGTGAGCATTTGCTGCAGATTTCTCAAATGTGCGTTCGAACAGACGGGCTAATCCATAGCATCCGCGGGGTGGAATCCGTTCGGTTTGAGCACATTTCAAGCCAGCAAACAGTTGGCGACGGGCACTTATATCTCGGGGTGCTCGTTTGGCAGCTTCTACATCATTATTGCAAGTGTCATCGTTCAACAGCTGGCGTTTACGAGTTGCTGCCGCACCCCTCAGGATTGGACGCTTCGGCGTCGTTTCGTTCACCTTCTGCCAGTCGATTACTTTGGCGGGTGGCTCGCATGTAGTTTCCGGTTCAAGCTTGATGTCGGTCGCCAAAACGTTTTCCACAACTATTTCATCGCTTCGCTTATCGTCGATTTCCATAAAGGCACGCAACGAATCCACGCACAGCGTAGATGCTGGCAAATTAATATTCAGTTTGTCAAGCGCTTGCTTTATAATTGGAAAATCGAATGCCCAGCCATTATGTGCTACAAGACAAACAGGAGGGCGTAAATGCTCCAAAAATCTCAGTATAATTTGTCCCGCGTTCTCGTCCAGCTTCGATTCGCGTTCCAAAATATAATTGTTCAAGCCTGCCATGGGAATGGGATAATATATTTTAATTCCATGCATGACTCATTCACAACTCAAACCTGTGATTCTCTCGGCGCCTGGGTGTACAGTCATTGACGGCTGGAAAAGTAAGTTTAGCTTGTGCAGCACTCTCGGCGGAAGGGGTAAAGCATTAGGAGAGGGTGGCGTCAACTGGTCCTCTGGTTCCACGCTGTCCTTTAAGACTGCAGGATCAAAGGCGTAAATGCATAGTTCGGTGATGCTAACCCGATTATTGTTATATGCAGGCAAATTCGATGTTTCCAAGTCCAGCACGGCGAAGGTAGAGATTTGTGCTTTTTCTCCATTTTCTGCCTCAGCAACAGGTGTATTTGCCGCCATTAGACTGGTGCTTAAATAAACATTTGTATATCAACAATTGAATTGCAGCAGCATTCCAATTCCAAAAAAAAAAAAAAACACAAGCCCAATAACATTTTTCGTAATGTTATTAACAGCGCAAAGTTATTTCATTTTGAAAACTTACTTGTTCTTTTCCCCTCAATGGAAACAGGTAATGAAATTTGCTGCGCAACGAAATAATGTAAATATATTGTAAAATAAAATTAGGAAAAAGAGCCAATCATTCACATGTTTAATATAAACATAGTAATATATCGACGAGCCACCACAAAATTAAAACAAAATTACCTGCCAACAAATTTGAAAGAAACGGCCGTATACAATTTGATTTATTGTAAAGATTGTTTGTAGTTTGCTTACCATTCCATAATAGTTGGCGTATAGACCAAGTATTAGTTATTATATTACCAGTTTAAGGCTAATGTTAAAAATCCAAGTGCATTTACCTACTGATAATCTTTGCCGTATCCGGCCCATTATCTTTGGCTTTTGCCAACTGTTATGACATTCAAAACAAAGAAATGAGCAATCGGTAGTTATTAACTGCAACTAACTTTATTAGAGCAATATTTTAACATTTAAGTTAGTAAGAAATGAAAAAATGTGCAAACATAAAAAGTCTTATACTGTTAAATACAGACAGTGTACTTATTGACAGAAATACACACGAACATATAAGATACTTAAAACAATTTATGCTGTATAAATACTTGAAGGATTTAGAATCCTTGCGTGTCAATAATTCATAAATAATTAAAAACACACAGACATGTATATTCGAGCAAGTTTTGAATACTTGGTTTCTTGACCATGGCACATAAATGGCACAAGGGTTAATGACTCAAAGATCTGCGCTGTTTAACGACTTGGTATCTTCTGATTTAGTATCGCCTGCTCCTTCAGCTTTGGCACCACGCCTATTCGCCGAAAACTGCAAATAGTCCGTGCGTGTTGCCGCCTCATACTCTTGGACGAGGCCGTCTACGATCTCTCTGGACTCGTCCAATTCATTCAAATCATCCTTAAAGATGTCCTCGCGTCTAAATTGATCCAGAAAAGCGCCACGCTTTCGCAGCTTGTCATACTGATTTAAAGTTCGCTCAAACAATGAGCAAATGCTCGTGTGATTGGCCAGCATCAAGCCCGAAACTCGGTGGCTGCTTTGCACGTAGGGCGAGGAGCGCGATAATGCCACCTGTATAGAAGTTGGCCCCCACGGTATAAACTGCGCTAATTTGCGCTCTCGAATACGCTGAAGCGATTTGTGCACCTGTGTGGGATCCACCTCGCCCTGTATGATGTTTAGTATTGATATGTAACAGTGATGATTAGTTTTGTCCGGGCCTGTGGACACCATCATGTTCTTTGGCTGCAGGAGACGCCGCATCACATCCAACACGGTGGTCTTTCGCACGTTAACGGCCTGGTGCGAAGACAATGGATTATGCTAAAAGTAATTAATTTACAAACTCTGATCTACAGCGAAGGAAGACTGCCGTCCGGTCAATTTCTAACTGTCTGGAAGTAATACTTACATGATTGCTAAGATTAGCATCGCTGGTCAGCGGTGTGTAGCCAGTCATCAGAAAGTGCAGTTGTGGAGTTGGAATTAATGGCGCTGTCAGGCCAATGAGATTATTGTTCATATAGGATGGATAGCGCAGAGTTGTTGTGCTAACACTCATTATGGTTGAGACTAGAGTATTAATCTGTGTAAAGGTTGGGTTTTGTATGTGCAAACGATCGCAGGCAATGCGATTGAGAGCCGTATTGTCCAGGACGACAACACTGTCTGCAGCAGTGGTCAGGCGGCGTAGCGTGAGCATCGAGTTGTAGGGTTGTACGACAACGTCGCTTATTTCGTCTTGATTTGGAAACACGCTGTAAGTTTGGATAAGTTTTTTGGGATAACGATCTGCCAGGCGTTCCATAAGAAATGATCCCATTCCCGACCCAGTGCCACCTGCTATCGAATGACAAAGCACAAAACCTTCAAGCGAATCGCTTCCGTCTGCCTCGCGATCGATTATATCAAAGATTTCCTCCTGCAATTTATCGCCCTGGCTATAGCCAGAAGCCCAGTTGTTGCCGGCACCGCCGCCATGTTTAGACAAGTACACGTTCTCAGGATTGTACAGCTAATCGAAACCAGAATTGCTTTTTTTCATTTAAACTTAATGAAGCTTTTCAGTTGGAGACTTACCTTGGAATAAGCAGAAGTCATAATGGTGTTAATAACGCGCGGCTCTAAATCTAGCAACACGGCCCGCGGTATATAATGATCATCATCCGCCTGATAGAAGAAAACATCCTTTCTATCCATGCCATCGGTGGCAAATTCTTCAAGAACGCCGCTCGGTGAGATGCCATGTTCTAAGCAGAGCCGCTTCCAAAACTCAAAGCCAACTAACAAATGTTATATGATGTCACAAATTACAAAAGACCGCAACAATCTATAAATTGTACCCACTTTGATTGCCGCATTGCCCCAGCTGCAGCGTAATTATTTCGCTTGGCATTTTTGCGAGATGAGGTTTCGACGATGACTGCTGATGCGAATCCACTTAATAATTTGAGCTGACTTGTGCGCTTTGTTGTTTAATGCTGCTTAGCGCAGTTAAATTTATATGCTCATTACACCAAAAACACTTAAAATTGTTGCCAAAACGAATTATTTATTGGAAAAAACTTAAATAAAAGATGCAGCGGGTAGTGCTGAAAAAACAATCGATGACACTATCGATGTATCGATAGTTGGCGTGCAGTGACTCCAAATTCATTTTATGTATGTATCGATATCTCATTTCGTAAGGACTGGTATGCAGATCACAATGGCTATTATTTATTTTTAATTATTTTTAATATTTGTTTTAATTAACAGAATATTTTTATTAATGAAAAATATTCCTTCAAGGAAAATTACATTATTCAAACAAACCCTATTTAGAAGTAAATTATTTATTGCTTCAAATTCTGCAATCGTTAATATCGATGGTTTTGCTGCCAACTTCACGCGGGCTAAAAAATGTGCCGGCTTGGGGTGGCATTGCCATTGCCCGCGCAGAGCTAATGGTCGGTTGTTTTTGGCATTGGTCGCATTTTAAAAGTAAGCAGAAAGCGATAAGCATTATTGGAAATTTCGTGATCAAAATATTCAACGACAACAACAACAATCTTGTCGAATACAAAAAAAACATTGTTTGAATATGCTTCGCGCGAAAGTTGCAAAAAAAAAAACATCGTCGGAATTGCCTGTAACAAATGGCAATGATGCTTCATCCTCGTCTGTAGCAGAAGAGGGGGCCGCTAATGTCGCAGATGATACTAAACAGGCTGCCAAAAGCAAAGCGCGCGGCAAGAAAATGCCAGCTGCTACGGCTTCTGCGGAAGTAAATGATGTACAGGAAGCTGATGTTGTTGCAAAAAAGTCGGCGGTGCGGGCCAGAAGAAAGCCCGCCGAAAAGGTAGAAGTCATTGTGGAAGACTCAGAGCCGCCTAAGCCAAGAGGTCGCGCCAAGAAATTGGCTACAGAGGTCAGTGACGAACCCAAAACTAAAGCAGCAAAGCCACGCTCCAAAAAGTCGGCGGTGCAGGAAGACACAGGTGTGGAAGACACAGAGCCGCCTAAGCCAAGAGGTCGCGCTAAGAAATTGGCTACAGAGGTCACTGACGAACCCAAAACTAAAGCAACAAAGCCACGCTCGAAAAAAGAGAAACCCTCAGCACTGGAAGAGCCTGAAGTAACAAAAGGACGCGCCAAGAAAGAAAAAACATCCCTAAACGAGGAGGCCGCTATCACTGTCGCGCCGACCAAGGAGGCAGACTCAAAAGCGCGCGGACGCAAAAAGGAGCCAGAGAAAAAAACAGTTACCGAATCAGCCGAACAAGCCGAGTCAGTGAAGGGACGTGCTAAAAAGGAATTGATTGCGCCTGAGACCAAGGGCAGGGCTAAAAAGGCCGATGCAGTCGCAGCAGAAGAATCGACAATAAAAACAGCAACAACAAAAGGTGCACGCGTTACGAAGCGTTTGGCAGACACAGAAATCGCCGAGGTGCTAGAGGCAGAGGAGGATCCAGAGCCAGAACCAGAACCAGAACCGGAAACACAGCTAGTAAACAAGAAGCGCCCCAAGCAAGCAAAGAGCAACAATGAAAATGTTGAGGTTCCGGCCAAAAAACCCCGCAGGAAAGCGGCCACAAATGATCCACAGCAGGATCTGCCAAGTGTGGAGATGCCAGCCACTAGCAAAAAGCGTACGCAAAAGAAAGTCAACGACGATATAGAGCTGGAGGAACTTAAAGTGCCAGAGAGCAAACCAGGTAAATAAAAAAAATTGGCATATCCTAGCAAGCGTCCAGATAGTCGTTTTTATTTTGCAGCACGCGGCCGAAAACGACCAGCTGCAGGCGCCGAAGAGAATGCGAATGCCATTTCAATCGACGCAGCTGACGGCTCGAGAAGTACGTTGATGGAGCCCGGCTGTGGCGGTGCGGTATTGAAAAGTTTGCAAAATGTGCTCAACTTTTGTTTTCCAGCGTCCAAGGCCAAAAAGCCAGCAACACAAAAGGTGGAGGCAGCGGCTGCTGGAATCTATGAAAAAAGTCTATTCACTTCGCCAACGGACAAGCCATTCAACTTGAAAATCTCTAGCTGGAATGTGGCTGGTTTGCGCGCCTGGTTGAAGAAAGATGGTCTAAAGTTTGTGGACTTTGAAGAGCCTGATATATTTTGCTTACAGGTATTAACATACAAAAATGTTATATATTAAAAAAACACTTTTTACCAAATATATCAACTCACTTGCAGGAAACCAAATGCGTCAACGATCAGCTGCCCGATGAGATGACGCGTCTTCCCGGATACCATCCATACTGGCTGTGCATGCCCGGCGGTTATGCGGGCGTGGCCATCTACAGTAAAATAATGCCAATAAATGTGGAATATGGCATTGGCAATCCGGAGTTTGATGATGTAGGACGGATGATCACCGCCGAGTATGAGAAATTCTATTTGATCAATGTGTATGTACCGAATTCGGGTCGCAAGCTGGTTAATTTGGAGATGCGCATGCGCTGGGAGCAACTATTCCAGGCGTATGTACAAAAATTGGATGCACTGAAGCCCGTTGTCATTTGTGGCGACATGAATGTTTCGCATACAGAGATTGATTTGGCTAATCCCAAAAATAACACACGTAACGCTGGATTCACCAAGGAGGAGCGTGAAAAGATGACTGATTTGCTGGCCCTTGGCTATGTGGATACCTACAGGCATTTGTACCCGGAGCGCACCGGTGCGTACACCTTCTGGACCTACATGTCCAATGCGCGTGCCCGAAACGTTGGCTGGCGTTTGGATTACTGCCTTGTGTCGGAGCGTTTCGTATCGCGCATCGTGGACAATGTGATGCGCAGCCATTGCCTGGGCAGCGATCATTGCCCCATAACTGTCTTTCTAAATGTTTAAGCATCAACACATGCATAACTACATGCATATATCATATTATATTTTTCAATTGAGTTTATTTTTTCTTTTCCCAATGTCTTAAAATTATGCCCCATTGTTTGTGTTTGTAATAGTTATTTATGAGCAAATTTACGTGTGTCCTTGCTGGCGTTAATCACGCACGTATTGCTATTCTTTTTTTTTTGTTATAATTGAATATTCATTACTAATATTCCATTTATACCTAAATGCCTAAACATTCGATTACATTTTGTATTTCAATAAAGTATAATACAACTAAGTACTAGAAAATGCGGATACGCTGTTTAATTTCACTTATTTCGGCAATTTTATGGCAGTTTAAGCACGTTTATTGTCCATTTTGTCGTTTAACTGTACTTAGGTTTTAATGGCATATAAAAATTTGCAAAAATGTACAGATCTGAAGGCATATCTATGGGACTTATCAGGGAGAAGGGTACACACCCAACTCTGAGATAGAAGAGAAGGAAAACAAATAAAAAATCTAATGCATTTTTTACAAAAACATGCTTAATCCAGAGAAGTATTATTTTGGAATGTTATAAAAAATGCAAACAAGTTGAAGAATACGCATATTTTCACTTTATAATCTAATTGATCATTTATTTGTATTGAATTCCGTCAATTAAAACTAATTACTCTTGGATATTTGAGCATGGTACAAAAATGTTAATACTTCCGCCTTTATTTATTGTATTTACTTTATTTATTTTTTTTTAGTTGGCATTGTTTTATGCTTTAGAATTCGAATTAATTATGTAATATTTGTACAAAGCTGTCCCAGTTTATTTCGTGTGTTGATTTAGTTAATATATGTATATGAAAAATTAACCTCTCGTTTTAAATTGAAGTTTTTTTTTTTTGTTGTTTTTGTAAAAAAATAGTTAGCTGTCCGCAAAAGAAAGGCGTTATTGCATTCATAATCAGGCCCCGCCCACGGTATTTGTGTCTGGCACCATCCGGTCATCGGCATGTGTCCCAATCAGGGAGTGGAGCGTAGCCTCTTGCCCGACTGCCACATTGCCAATCGCGTGTTCATGTACTCGGTTCTGCACTCCCTGCAGTCGGAGGAGCGATGCAGCGAGGAGGTGGACGGTCAGTTACGTGATCGTTATGAGGTATTCCGCCAGGTGCTGCACAACTTTCCCACCCCGCTCCATGCTAGGCCCGAGGGCAACTACGACTATGACTATGTGTATGATGCACTGCAGCAGCAGCGCCAGCGCCGACGGCAATTATCCGGTGCGCAAAGCAGCACCTCCATGGAGAACAATGCCAGCGAGTCGAGTGCCAGCCTGTCGAGCATTGTGTCCAGCGTGAGTTGTAGCTCCAACTTGTCCGCCCGCTGTGATTACTACGAGGACGCGGTGCGCAGTGCCCTGGCCCAGCTGGGTGGCGGCAGTGGAGCAGCCCAGGACAAGGACCTCAAGGAAGACGACCAATTGCTGGACAGCGGCGATGAAACAAACTGAGTGACGTACACTTAACCCATGTTAAAAACGTGTCCATAGTAAAGTGTAAATCATTTCCAGCAGTCGTTCGTTTTTCTTTTTTTGTAAAAGCGCGATAAATGATGTTAATCGCAATGAAAGTAAAATTCACCATTAAATACAACCAAAAAAAAAAAAGAAAACAAATTGGCTTAGTACAAGCATTTGTTAATGCACATACATACATTAGTGTATCTCCACGCACACACACGCACACCTATATACATGCGTGCATTTGTTGTTGTTTGTGCAATAAAACATTTTAATGTGCGTTTAATGTCGCGCTTGTTTTCATGCTTAAAAAAGTGGAACCGTCTCTCTGGTCAGTCGGCCGCTTATCAAATCAAAATGATCTCATTCATAATATGTGTATTATAATTAAAAAAAAAAAAACAAGTAAAATTAACTTAAATAACAGCACACTCGCAGCCCGAAGAAAGTTTCGGCTGACTGGAAGTGAAATGTGCGCTACAATCCAAGAGTTTTCCTGTTAATTACAAAATTAAATTTACAGTCTAATATAATTATTTAAAATAATAAAACTGAAATGCGGAAGCTGTATTAATATTTAAAAAAAAAGCCATACATTTTAGATCTTTACTAAATACTGTTCTCACAGCTTAGTTTTAGTTAGTCAAGAGTCAGAACTCATATAATATTATTAATAACCATTTTGTTTGCCAGTTGGCAATTATTTTAAAATTTCCAATTAGTCTAATGCAGATTTACAAATCTTTATTTCCATAAATATATTAACATTACTTGTTCTTGAAATATTTGTACTTCAGATGTTGAATCTAGAAGTTGTGCGAAAACTTGGAAAACTAGCCGCAGCGCACTCAAAAATTAATGTTCAAATGTTGAATGAATTCTGAATAATTATAGCTTACAAATTATTTACAATTGCGAAAAAAAGTGCAACTAACCGCCGCATCATTTGCCTTGTCTATCTATAACATCTATATGCCTATATATATCTATATATATATGACCATATATATGTAAGTGCCAACCACATTTCTATTGTGTGTGGCGGGCAAAGCAATAAAAACTGCAGCTAGCCACATGCATAAAAGCCGCTAACATCTAACTAACTATGATCCACATATCACACATATTTTAGGCACAGAGCGTGCCCGGGTATCGCAGTCATAGAAACTATCTACATATAAATAAACACAGCGACAACCTGGAAATGGTCGCGAATTGAGACCAAACTGTCATAAAAATCAGTTAGTAACAACCGCCAGCAGCCCCCCCCCCCCCTAACTGGCCATAAAATTTCGTTTTCATTTGGCGGCGCGATCTTTACTGGCCAGATCCAACATTTTGTGCTTTTAGTCGAAAAAGTTGTGTGAACGCGCACGGATCGGAGCTAATAGAACTTCACCTGGAACGGGAGTTACGCCAAGAGCTCTATTTATTGTGGATATAGCATATATAATTTTTTTGAATCACGCACAAGTGTTTTGCCCAGGGAAATAGCAATGCGATCGCTTTACCGATTATTCGTGTTTTATAATATATTTGCCTGCATACGAACAGAAGCCGGCGAATTTGGTAGGTTTTTTCTTACTTTCGTTTTATCCAAGGAAATATTATTTGGAATTTTTCTTGTGTAATTATTTTCAAAAGCACATGGATTTGCCCTGAATACTAGTGTTCCCTTATAAACTAAATAGTTAATATATATATATAATGCTGGTTTTGATATATATTTAGTTTATGAAGACAAGTTTTAAAAAAAAAATAATATTTAATAACATTTTTGGGTATTAAGCAAATAGAGAAAAAGTTATCCAAATCATGCAAAATCCTTGTTATCATTTTATAATATATATAACCTAATTTTGGTACATATTTAGTTAATTAAGGAAAAGTTCTTATAAAAAGCCTTATTATGAGCTAAGATGCATGTGCTATATATTATTTAATAAAAGTATTGGGTATTATAATGTTGTCGTGAAATGTGTAACGCATAGAAGGAGACATCTCCGACCCCATAAAGTATATATATTCTTGATCAGTATAGTATGATATAGCCATGTCCGTCTGTCCGTCTGTCTGTTTCTATGCGAACTAGTCTTTCAGTTTTAAAGCTATCTTAGTGAAACTTTGCAGAAGTCCCTTTTTATTTTGATATATATTTAGTTTATTAAGGAACAGTTTTTTAATAAAATTCTTGGACATTAAGCAAACAGACCAAAATTTATCCAAATCATGCAAAATCCTTATCATTTTATAATATATATAATTCCTTTATTGGGAATAACATTAGATAGATATAATTAAAATGAAAAAAGACTTAACCAATTAATCCTGAGAAAACATTTTTATTGCTCCACAGAAAAACTAGTTATTCCAGCGTCCTACGCAAAGGTGTCCAATGGGAATGCGAGTGCCTCCCGCTCGGTGGCCGCGCGCTCCTACGTTGGGGGCCAGGGCTCGAATACGGAGTGCTCCTTTGGCACCGAGTGTACGCCGCTGCACGACTGCACGGCAATGATCTACGAGGTGGCGAAAAACTGTTATTACGGTGATAAGTCGCTTTATTGCGGCGGTGGCGAGGAGATGCCCTACGTATGCTGCCCGAGCAGTCCGCTGGAGAAGAACCAGGTGTGCGGCAAGTCGCTTGTGCAGGGTCATTTTTACAAGGGACTCGGCTCGTATCCTTTTGTGGCACGCGTCGGCTTCAAGCGTAAGTGAATATCAAACAAATAATTAAAACAGATCGGCGGTCCTTAAGTCACCCATTACAGACATAAGCACGGGCGCCTTTGCCTATCCGTGTGCAGGTTCGATCATTGCCCGGCGCGTCATCCTGACCGCCGCCCATTGTGCGCTGGCCAAGGCCGATGGCCACCGGCTGTAAGTATGCCAATCGTTATGCTCATGTCCATATATGTATCTAACGCGTTGCATCTAAACTTTCGCCTGCAGCTCATCGGTGCGCGTTGGCGAGTATGACACCTCCAGTGATCCGGACTGCGCCAGCACTGGCTTCTGTGCACCACGGTCTGTGAATCATGCCATCAGCCATGTGATTGTGCATCCAGACTATAAGCAAGGCCAATATCATCATGACATTGCGCTGCTGGTGCTCAAAACACCGCTCAATTACTCGGGTAAGCGGGGAACGGGAACGGGGCCGGGTACTCGAAGTGGGGGCTGGTTACGCTTCGCAGTGTCAACGTTAATTAAAAATCGTTTTGCTCTGTGATATTTTCGAGTCGCACTCGCAGCCAAGTTCAATAATGTCAACTACGTCTCTTATATTGCATGTTTGATAATTTGAGGTTAGGGCTTCATTCCCGGGTCCGGGAAGGGGCTGGGTTCCGGGGTTAACTTAATTGGCCAGCGACAAGCTCTGGTGTGTGCTTAGTGTAGCAAGTAATAAGTCAAACGCGCATCTACCCAATATGAGTTTTCGATTTTAGACACACTTCAATAAGCTTGGACTTTGGATAAGCTTGCGTTTGAGGTTAGGTTTTCTCTGCTTAAAATTCTTAAATTGAACCATTCAGTAAAAACGATATTAATAGCAACTATTTTTAAGGAGTAAAGTTGGATTTTTATATATTTATATTTATTTATATTATATGTAAAATTTCTTTAAGCTGCGTTCGAAATTTCTAAAGTCCAGAAATGTAAAATAACAGTTCTATAAGAGAATTTTAAATTTCAATGTGGCCTACAAAACTTTATTGATAGGAAAACTATAAGATCTAAAAACGAAGAGAACAGATCATTTTTTTCAATATTATAATTATCTATGAATTATTTTCCAAATCAGTAACTAATTAATATTAAACATTTTTATTCCGATCCTTGAAGTTTATATGTTCTGTATGTTCCGTTTCATAAAATAGTTTTTATCTGTGAGTTGAGATTGGTTTGAATTAAAATTTCTTGACGAATACCAAGTATAAGGAAACTTTAACTGATTTTTAAAAAAGTGGTTATGTTTATATAATTGCATGTTTTCTTATTAAAATGCTCCTATGATCTGCGACCCTCGCCCTGAAATGATTGAACATATAATTAACGTTTTGATAGCTGTGATTTGATATACTTGTTTTGCGTGCACGTTCAAGCTGCTTGTGTGTGTGTGTCTGCGAAAGGAATGCACAGCCTTCAGATGTTTTCGTTAAAATCATAAATTGAAATTGAATCTTAAAGCGTCAATATCATTGCAATCTGAGCAAATAGGAGCCTGGAGCGAGGCAACTCGCAAACAGCCAACGGGAGGCGTTACCTTAATTGTTGGCCAGCTTGTTTGCAGGTGGCTTTATGGCTTTATAATATTTTATGGGCGTACGTGAGCGTAAGATCAATCAATAAGGCCGGGGCGGTGAATGCAACAACGTTGCGAGTCGGAGACCAGCCTCCTTTTCCTTTAATGGCCGATACGTGTCTGCTGCGGCTTGTGAACTGAACCGATTTGATTTCATATTCTCTGCAGTGGCCACGCAGCCGATCTGTTTGCAGAAGACACGCGCCAATTTGGTGGTGGGCAAGCGGGCGACCATTGCCGGCTGGGGCAAGATGTCCACGTCGAGCATACGCCAGCCGGAGATGTCGCATCTGGACGTACCGCTGACCAGCTGGGATCTGTGCCTGCGCAACTATGGCTCAACGGGCGCACTCGAATCGCCCAATTCAATTGAGGGCCAATGGATGTGCGCCGGTGGCGAGGGCAAGGATGTGTGTCAAGGCTTTGGCGGTGCGCCATTGTTCATCCAGGAGAACGGCATCTTCTCACAGGTATTGATCGACTGATGAATTCTCAGTGGATTCTATCATTTTGCCCCTTCGTTGCAGATCGGCATCATGTCCTTTGGCTCCGACAACTGCGGCGGACTACGCATACCCAGCGTCTACACGAGCTTGGTCTACTTCCAGGAGTGGATACATGACAACACGCCACCGGAATAGGACAACCTTCACGTCCAACCTAAGCGTTAAACTTAAATGTACATCAATATATGGTACTTCTATATGTATGTCGAATCGGTATATGTTTTATTTCGCAAAGTAACCTAAACTATTTTTCTGATATTTAAACGAGAGCGTGTTCATTTTATGTAAATTGATGGCGATGGGTTCATATGCGTCGGGCCATATATAACCTACACGCACACAAATAATTTAATTGAATTAATTGAACTTTGACACGAGAAACGGGGCCTCCAAACATAAAGTTCTCATTCGGAAAAAACAACAATAATACGTTGCCGAGAAAACAGCACACAACATTTTTATACCCCGAACCCATTGAAAATGGGTAAAAAGGGTATATTGTATTTGTTCAAAATGCAAATGTATGTAACAGACAGAAGGAACCATCTCCAACCCCATAAAGTATTTCTTGATCACCATGAATAGCCGAGTCGATCTAGCCATGTCTGTCTGTCTGTCCGTCCGTATGTATGAACGCAAGGATCTTAGAACCTATAAGAGCTAGAGACTTAAAATATTAGATGTAGATGCTCCTAGTTCCCGCGCAGATCGAGTTTGTTTCCGATAATCGATAACTTGCCTCGTTTCCAAGTAATCAATAAAAATCTATATCTACTTCCTGTTTTTTGAGCAATTTTGGTAAATAATAAGAGCTAGAGTCACCAAACTTGACATATAGCTTCTAGAATGGTATATATATTTGCATTTGGTGTTGGAAGCAGAGTTCAGGGTATCCCCCAGTCGGGAGCTCCCGACTAGAACCTCTTGTTATTTATATATTTTCGAAAATTGAGTGAACTTTTACGGAATTTAATTGTACATTTTTATAGAAAAACAAAAAACGACTTCCAAAACTATATTTGTCTACATTCCAAGTCTAAGCCAATGTTCAATCAATTATTTCCGGAATTGTCCGCTTGGGAGCTATTCGAACTAGATAGCTGTCATAGATACATATGTATGATCAATTATAAAATATGAAAAAAATATTTTTGATTTATGTGTCATTTTAGGAAAGCGGAACGCATGCGAGCTTAAGCCCATAAAATATTATTTAAGCATTTTTAAATGGCAAATAACATTTTCTTATAATTTATTTTCATAATTTCTTGCTCTTAAAAGAATCCGATACTTGTCCGAAACTTTTTTGCATCCTTTTATTGCGCTTTTAAAAAGTTTTGCCCAGCTGGAAAATTGTTTTCTGGTTAAAGCCCTTTTTATTCCCCCTAGTCCATCTTTCATCTCTCTCGTTAACGTTAATAGCTTTTGGTCTCAGCTGCTTTGATGCATGGGGAGTTGTCAGTCTTGATTTGTGTGCGTGTGTGTGTAGGTCCCGTAATGTCGGTGCCATGTGGCTAATTGGAGTCAGCTGTTTTTATGAGCCAAGCAAATCAGCTGGCTGTTTGGCAGGAGCAGAGCAACAAGAGCCAAGAACAGCAGCCGGACAAATGGAAAGGCAAGGCTGCCAGTGCACTGAGAGAAATTATAACCTTGAGCGAATATTTTTTTATTTAGTTCGTTGTAATTACATTCGATTTGTGCGCCATTATGTAAGTGTCGTCGGCCCAGCTGCCGAGCTGACAAATTAACATTGTTCAATCGACATCGACGACAAATCAAACGCTTTTAATTAATTTACGGCCTGCCTTCGAATGCCGTAAGAGTGCACGCCGCGCACATTCCGCAGCCACGGCGCGCAGTGTAGCCCGGGTTGCGGCGGGTAGGCACTAAATAAAAAATCAATTTGATGGCTCGCACAGATCGTTACGTTCCACGGGCTCCACGACAGCCCCAGACTCTTTGGCTTCCTTCCACTGGCCGACAACAGTCGGCAATTGAACGTCGTGCCATCGAGATCGACGCGAATATCTCTCTGAAGCTTGTTGAACGTTCCACGGGAAATCGAAAGTCACAGTTTCTTTTATTATAAATATAATATAAAACATCATGATCGAGCTGAATCTTAAATAAAATTAAATGAATTCTTTCAACTTAAGCATACAGTGCGTACCAAATTAAATACAACTAAAGTTTTAAATGCTATTTCAAGGTTTTGTCAAAACCTTCGAGTTTTGGTATAAATATTAAAGTGTCCAAAAAATCGTCTGCCTCCTGTGATGATGGCAATCTGAAAAAAAAATGCAAATATTCAAAAATTTGTTAAGCTTTTAAGTGACACATAATTAATTATTAATTTTATTCAAATACACCCGTTTATAAAAAAAAAAATTAAAATTATTTTTCTATGTTGTTTATTTAAGTGAAAAAGTGTTTTACCACCGGATTAAAGGTTTAATAGTTTTTTTTAAATTCAACATTGTTAGATCAATGTAATTCTATTAAACTTTAAACAACTAAATTAAAATACCATAATTTATTTTGTAAGTAATACGATCTTCTATCGTGCACGTCAAGACGTGGTTTCGTGAAATTTTACCCGCAAGTGTGGAAATTCCTATTCCTTCTTGGTGGAATTGGGGGTCAAAGATTTGTTGGGTGACATTTCGCCTTATTATTAAAGCTTTCACGGTGGAAAGTGCAATTCTAAGATTTTTTCGGTGCAATTTTAAGCTGTTTCCAATTTGCTTCAAACTTTTTTTCAAAGCTCTACATAAAAACTTAATAAATACATGTTAAAGCGTTTTGGGAAATTCCACCCGGAACAGTGGTAAATTGGCGGAAAACATTTGTATGAAAGTTTGTCCATTTTTAAAGCATTTTGAGAAAATTTATTTTATACGTGAAACGGGCAAGGCCGGGCTATACCCGCTAGTATAATTATAAAGTCGCAGCAGAGCTACAGATTCCGACAACTAGGCCCTAAAGGGCACTCAAACAATTGAAGACCCTAGGGATTTTCTGTTATTGAATGCGGCTTATCAGCAATATTTGCGCCAAAGTATTGCACAAACAAATGTTTTGCTTAAGGATACAAACAAAATAAATGCTATTAATTTTTGGGGCAGAGGCAACTCAACTTTTTGAAAATCTAGTATCGCATATATATATTCGATAAAAATATAAAATATAGATGGCCTCATATAAAGATAAAGTCAATAATACCTATTATGAATCATTGATCTAGGTCCATTTGCTCGATTTTCTTAATAGCGACAACCGGGAAACAATAAATTGCAGATTAAATTAAAAGTTTATAAAGCTGATTAGTGCTACGATTTTTATTCAACATTTTTCTCAAATTATATGTTCATACTGAAGGTCTTTCATTTATGATTTCGGTGATTTAAAAATTCCTTCAGTTTTCAGCATAAGTTGCATCTCCAAATTTATCCAACTAAAACTTAAGCTCCGAAAAAAGTGGCAACCTTACCAACGGAAAGACTCGGCACTTAAAGTACAGCAATAATGAAATCAGATCAATTCGTGGCTCACCCTTAAGCACGTCATTTGAAGTAAAATCGACGCCGTGTTGTTGAGTTTGGGCTGCAACAACTGTTTTTAGCTGTGTTAGTGTGTGTGTGTGTGTTTGTTTGTGCGAATTTTTAGACAACTAAGCGAAAAAAAAAACAGTGACCAAAAATTAGCTGAAACCCTTTGTGCGATTTACGTTGGAGATAGTGTGGAAAATATCGGCGTATGAAACACATAAATTGCGGCTAATCGGGAATTCGGGGGATCGATCGCAAAGCCATCGCAACGCGCTAATTAGGCAAACAGTGTTAAGGAGCGAGAGAAACGGCAAGCGTGCAATAACTGTAAAATACACCATATAAACAAACCTGATGATAGAGCAGAAAGCTGAGCAATGTTGAAAAGACGCCGAAGTAAACAGCAGCAGCAACAACAACAAGAACAACAGTCTCAGCAACAACAACAAGAACAACGGTCTCAGCAACAATTATAGGCACGCACAAATATCAAACAATTGGCAACATGTTGCCAAAACTTGAGCACATGTTGCTAGTGCTTGCTGCCATCGCCGCCTTGACCATGGGCTCCACGCTACTCAATACGACGGCCGAGTTCAGGGAGTGCACCAGCATTGACATACGTAACAACTGCAGCAACATGAGTCTATTGGACAACTGTACAGTGGTTACCGGCTATGTGATGATTACGCTGTTGCCCAGTCAAAATTGCAATTATAGCGTGTATTCGTTTCCCAAATTGCGCGAGATCACGGACTTTATGATATTCACTGAAGTGCGCAACTTGACTGGCATACGGCATATGTTTCCCAATCTAACTGTGATACGCGGCCGTCGGTTATTCCTTAATTATGCCCTGGGCGTGACAAGCATGCCCGATTTACAGCTGGTAAGTGGAAACGGACACAACGACGTTTATAATATATAATATAAAGATTAAAACCAAACAATCAAAGCTTGGCTGGGGCAAGGCTCGGGAAGAGCATAAACATATTTGGTAATTTCCATTTGACAATTTCAGCTGGAATTCAAATCGCTGGTGGCCATTCAACGCGGACACGTCTACATCGGTAGCTGCCCCAAGCTCTGCCAACTGGATGGAGTAGGTAATGTGAATTGGCCAATTGATGTGCTCACTCAGCTGTTGCTTTGCAGGTCAACTGGGATCGACTCACATTGAGCGCCGGCGAGAATCACATTGTGCTTGGATCCAACAACTGCACGAGACAACGCGCCTCCTGCAGGGGCTGTGCATCCAACTATTGCTGGTCAAATTTAACGTGCCAGCGCTTCGAGAATGATAATGTGGTGCATTATGATCGGTAAGCAGATGCATTTAATTTTTCGATTTAATAGCTGACTTGTTTTCATAAATTCGAGCAGCAGCTACGGAACTTGGACAACAGTTTTGAGACCTTAGTATATTCTGTTTATTTTGAGAGCTTCTCGAATTAGGATCTCTTCTGTTCCTGTCAGCTCCTTTCATTTAAACAAAATTCACATCATTTAGAAGCAGATTCGCAGTAGTACAAAAAGAAAATTGGGTTTAGTTATCTCTCTTATTGTTTAACTAAGTTGTAAAACGGGCTGGCTAGCCGGAACTCCAATATTTTTACTTTGAGTCAAAAGAGTTGTCCCAAGCCCATAATTTTTTGAAAATATGCCAAGAATCAGCCAGCTATATAGGTTATATCAGCACAGGTAGAGTAAATTTTGAAGCCATGGACAAGGTTTCAAAAGCAAACCCAAAATTAAATATTAAAAAATATATATATATGTTTGATAAACTAAAAAAAAAATGTTGGAAGATAATTTTTTTTTTAATTTTACCACCCAAATATGTGTCTGAACTTAGAAGCAGCATTTGAAGAAGATAACTAGCTCCGCAAAAGAAACATTACAAATTGAATTCGTTTATTTCTGCTTTTCCCCCTTTGCTCCACAGAAATGTACAAAGCTGCCACGAGGAGTGCCTGGGTGGCTGCTACAATTCCACAGCCGCGGGCTGTGCTGTCTGTCGCGGACTAACCAATGCCGGAGTTTGCGTGAAACGTTGCCCGCCCGACAAGTGAGTGAGGGGCTGAGCCACGCCGGCTTGGCGTCTTTTTGATTGCCACTTAGAGTTAGTCCGTTTGCAGGTATGTGCTGGAGCAGTATCAACGCTGTTACACCCGGGACGAGTGTGTGCTCCACCATGGCCACTTTACGTTTGATCGTAAGTGCGTCGCCTTCTGCCCGAGTGGCCACAAGGCCAATGCCAGGTCGGAGTGCGTGCGCTGCGATCCGCTGGAGCCATGCGTGAGTGTCTGTTCCGCGGAGCAATCCGATGGCATGATTGCCATATACAATTTGGCCGATGCAGATGAGCTGCGCGGCTGCCAGATTGTCAACGGCAGCCTCATCATCACCATACGCAACCAAGTCAACGAGGCGCAGCTGGAGCACAGTCTCAGCAGCATACGTGAGATACGTGGACATCTCAAGATCTACCGGTGCGTGTTCCGTCCAAGCATCATAAACATATTTCCATCTAATGTCTATTCAACTATTTAGCTCCTCGCAGCTGAGTAGTTTGAAGTTCTTAAGCAATCTGCAACGCATACACGGCGATCCGCTAGAGAATCGACACTACGCCTTTATATTGTACGATAACAAGCATTTGACCGACTTGTGGGAGCCGGCGGTGCAGCTGGAGTTCGTTAATGGCGGCATGTTCATGCACCGCAACAATAAGCTGTGCAACAAGCATATGAAAGACTTCCAGGCGAGCGTAATACACGACAAGGTGTTGGACTCGCTGCAGACCAGCGATCAGGAAGTCCTTTGCGGCCCGGCCAAGATGCACTTGTCTGTCCAGGTGAGCACTATCTGCCTGAAACAGACAGAAACCTACATGACCGACCACTAAGCTTTTCTCCCACTAAATGAAGAACGCCTTTCTATGCGATTTTCATTATAAAGATGTGTGATGAAAGAGACCTAAAATGTTGTTCCATCTTTACAGGCACGCTCCCATCGTACGCTGCAGCTAAGCTGGCCAAAATCGCAGATGAGCGTGGAGTTGGAACTAATTTACAGGACAGTGCCGCTGGGCACAATTTATGCGGAACAGAGTGAGTTAGAGGCGCCCGTCTGTACGCGCATCAATTGGCAGCGTCTGTTGCTATTTGTGGACGACCTGCAAGAGAATGGCACGCACTACAGCTATCGACTGGAGCAACTGGAGCCGCATACACGCTATGCTTGCCTGTTGCGCACCTTTGGTGGCGATGTCCAGCACGAAGCGCGTAGCGATATGATCTACGTGGAAACCCAAATGGACATACCAAAGCCTCCAACTTTGGCCATTACCAAGAAAACGGACAATATGCTGACGCTGCGCCTAGGCGGCCAGGAGCATGACTATTTTGTGTTGAGCGTTCACGAGCTGACCGACGATGCGGCCTACATTGATGAGCGCGACTACTGTCGGCAACCGGCGTATCAGTGGCAGGACATGGACGGGGTGCGTTGGCGTTCGCTAGAAGAATTTGACTACGACGAATGCTGTGCGCGTCGGGCGGAACTGGCCGATGATCGGCATTTTGTAGAAGAAATGGCCGCAATGTATCGCTGCAACCTGGATGCGCCCGGCAACTGTCCGTCCCCGGAGACAAAGCCTGGGCAGCAGTTACGCCTAGCGGCAAATACAACGGTGTACGAGCTGCGCAAGCTGGAGCGATATCGATTGTACTCACTGCAACTGCAGGCATGCAACTCGCTTGGCTGCAGTAGCTCAACGATACTGAACGAACGCACAAATTTCACATTGGGCGCGGATCTGGTTTTGAAACTGACCGCATGCCGTGTGCCCAAGACAACGGAGTACATAATTCGCTTTCCAGAGCCGGTACAGCCGAACGGGGTGATTGTCAACTACGTTCTCCACTACCGCAACAATGTGTCCGAGCAGTTAACAGAAACGCACCTAAGCTGCCTGACACGACGAGCTCATGCCCAGGCGAACTATGTGCATGCAGCCCAATTGAACGGCACCTACAACGAGTGCGCCGTACGCGTCCACTCGCTGGCTGGTGATGGAATCACAAGCTATGTGCCTGTCACGTGGTGCAACAAGGAGCAGAGCAAGATACCAGCAACAAAAGCGACTGACAAACCACAGATCGATAATGATGCAGTGATGAAGAAACCAGCAGAGGAACAGGATGACGTGGTGACTCACTCGCATGTACATGGCGTTAGCATATTCGTGATTTGCTTTTTGTTTGGCTGCTCCCTGTCACTGATTTGGCTTCTGTATAAGCGACGCTGCTGGCCCAAGTGGCCGGGACTGCGACGCTATGTGCCGGTGCGGGAGCAGTGGTTGCGCGAGCGCCATCAAACCGAAGATCGTGAAATACTCGTCGATGGCTTTGAGACGGTGCGTTTTCAGAACAACAACAACAACAACAATGGCAGCAGCCTCAATAATGAGTACTAATGTAAAATGTGAACTATGTATGTATTTAACTATAAATGTCAACTTACCATATAGTTTAAGCGAAACTGTTGAGTATGTTGCTTTATGTGGCGTTGTCCTTGGCACCTGGCTGAGCCTCATCATCCGCGTTGGTGCTGTTGTTGGCCAGCAAAATGGTCGGCACGCTGCTTGACGGCAGCAACATGATGTCGCTGTCCGAGGTGGGTGTGGGAGTGCGTGGCGATGGCACCTGCTGTCGAGCCTTGGCACGCTCTAGTTTGGCCTGTTCATACTCCTTTAGCTCTGAGAGCTTCAGCTGTATAGTTTGTAGTTCCCGGCGACGCATTTTCGAAGCTTTGTTTTGGTTTCTTTCTTTGTATTTAGTGATGAGCAACTCTTTATGTACCAATAACTTTTGATAGCTATCGAATATCGATAAATAGCAATTTAAGTTACAATATTCGCCTATATGGGCGACGGTACTTACATGTAAAATGCCCTTAAAGGCATTAACACATTTAAGAGTTGAGTAACGGCAGGAAAAAACTGCAGCGTGCAAAAAACTTAAATGGGAGCATGGAAATTTACATTCGCTGTTTGGCAACGTGCGCCACGAAGCTCTAACAGTGCGCTGTTAAGTAACTCTGTTAGAATTGGCGAAAATAACATTTTGCAACACAATTGAAAATAACAATATTTACAGACCACTTTAGTTTCTTTAGTTTGAAAACATTCAGTGCCACAAGTAACCTTATTACTAGCTTAATTATTTTACAAACATCAGTCCTCGTCTACAAACAGACCACCTAGGTCGAGATCCTCCAACTTTTCGCGGGACTGTTGTTGGGTTTTAAACTCTGTAAAATATTTGCCATCGCTCTCCGAGTTCCAACAGCTTTCCTCCGCCTCGGCAGCCAGGTGCCGGGCATGTTTGGGCGGTGTGAAATGGGAGTACGAACAATTTGTGTAGGTTGCCGGCTGCGCTGAACTGGTGGCATTTGGACGCAGATCATAGTGCTCGGCCAGAAACTGCAGCACTTGCGATTTGCTGCTCAGACTATTGAACTGGACACGCAATGCACGTTTCATTTCGCTGCTCCACATGAAGCTTAAGTGGTGATGGAAGCACTGAAACTGCAAGTGGTCACCAGCCGACTCGGCGATGTCCAGCCACTGCTGCACACAGGCCTTGGGAGTCGTTGTGGCCTGCGGATAGTCGCTGTTGAAGAGCGCCGGATTGGCGAGTAATCCACGTGCAGCCATAACGCCCGCTGCATGTGTCTTGGCATGCAGTTCGCATGCATCTTGAAAGCTTTCCACATTACCATTGACTATAAGCGGAATTTGCAGCGATTGGCACACCTCTGCCATGGCCGCAACGTTAAGCGTGTCCTTGGAATGCTTCTGTGACGGCGTACGTCCATGCAACGTCAAGAATGTGACACCACAGTGCTCCAGTTGCTGTGCCAGCTGGATCGTTCTTTGCAATGATGTCCGGCTGTCGCTGCTTTGCAACAAACGCATCTTGACCGATACGCTAAAATCCGTTGGCAACGTTCGCCGCAAGCATTGGACAACATCCCGAACTTGCTCTGGCTGGCGCAACAGACCACAGCCGTAGCCTTTGGCAATGGCCCAACTTTGTGGGCAGCCACAGTTAAGATCGACACCATCCACATAAGGATAAACGAGCTGCGCAGACGTGACAAATTCCATTGCATCCTTGGCGGCAAACTGTGCGATGAGCGGCTGGTCATCTGGGCCAGTGGTAAACTCGTTTTGCCTGGCCTTTTCGCTGTTGTTTACCGAATCGGAAATCATCATGGGAGTAAAGGCCAATTGCACTCCATTCTGGCGAAGCAACCTTCTAAATTCTAGCTTACTGTATCTGACCATGGGAGCACTGATGCGTACAAAGTCCTGCGCGTCTGCGAAGAGCGCTCCGATGTCATGGTGTGGCCTTTGTTTTGGCAACTCCATTCATAAATTTATATTGCGTACTCGTAGTTATTGTATATATTCATATACATACGTATGTGTGGTTTATGTGGCGTCCACGTTTTGCCTGGTCTCGCACTCAGCTGTTTCTAATGGATCAGCTGCTCATTCAGCTGGCAAAACTTAACTGTTATTAAAGACGAGCTGGTGTGTTAGTGCTAATTAACATTTTAAACATAAACTAAAATTAACCCATATTCGTTTTTATCTGGCGCCAGCTTAAAACGCAAATCCATTAATAACCTATGCTTAAATTTGAACTATTCGATTGTTTTAGTTAAGAATCTGCTCAATTTATCGATAGGCATGCCTTATTTCATATGTATATAAACAATTTAAGTATACGACATATGTAGGATAAATAGCCAATTTTTGCAGACATTTAATTATTATAATGAATGAGGATCTAGATATTCAAATTGTATGAAATTTTAATTTAATTCAATTTTTACCCATCTCAATAGCGTTTCATGGGCTAGCATTAAATATCGATAGATGAATATATACTTAGAAATCGATAGTGCCAAAGTGAGTTGCTCACCTCTAACGTGTAGGTGAAAAAAACTCACAATCGCAATTTCTTTAATTAAATAAATTAATACATGTACAAATAAAAACATAGTGACTAATCAGCCGACAAAAGGCAAAAGACGTCAATGACGCACAAGTGAAACGCAATGAACTAGTGAACGCAGCAGCAGCGTCCCACAACAACGACAACAGCGACAACTACAACAAAATGCATTTTTCAATACCAGACACACAGGAACAATATGCGGACGGAAGCGGTGGCTCGCCCACATACACGGTGTACAACATCTATATCAATGGCAACTATCACTGCTGCCTGCGTTACAAGCAGCTGCACGCACTGCACGAACAGCTGCGTAGGCGTTGCACAGACGCCGCCCTGCCACCATTTCCACCCAAGCGACTGCTGCCTTTAAGCAACAGTCAGCTGGAGACGCGACGCGCTGCTCTTGAGCACTACTTGCAGATCATTGGACAGGATGCGCGTATAGTACGCCTTTCCTATTTGCAGCAGTTTCTGCAGCGCGCCCAATTGGAAACGGCGCTGGCCGAGTGCACGGTGAGCAGAGAAGATGAGCAGCAACAGCTACAGGTGGAGGTTTATAGTGGCAGCGCAGCGGGATCGGAAGGTGGAGGCGTACAGTTGCTGGTCAATTGTCATGTGCAGCAGAATGCTAGCGCTCTGCTGCAGTGCGTGTGTCGCATGCTGCAGCTGCCGGTCGAGCTAATGCAATATTTTTGTTTATATCTCATGCGAAAGGTGGATTCGGCCGACGGGCCCTCCTCCTCGCCAGATGATCCGCCCGCTGTGCTGCTGCTGCGCCGCCTGATGGACTTTGAGTCGCCGTTTATCACGCGCTTGCATGCGCAGCCCTGTCAATTGCTCTTGCGCACCTGCTACTGGAACGCGCGCTGGGATGCGAAGCTGCTGAGCAACAGCGTGGCGCTCAACTTACTTTACCATCAAACTCTGGCGGATGTGGCCCGCGAGTGGGTTATTTGTACGCCCGAAATGCGTCGACAGCTGTGCAGCCTGCAGATGCAGGCACGACCCTTGCAATACTTGGAGCTTGTGCGTCAGCTGCCCTCCTATGGCTGTCTACAGTTCGGCGCCGCACAGGTGGACTATCCGGAAGTGGACACCCCTGCATTGGTGACCATAGGCAATCGGGAGCTCAGCTTGCGCACGGCGCGTGGCACTAAAATTTACGAAACAAAGTTTAGAGTCACACGCATGCGCTGCTGGCGGGTCAGCGCCATGCACAATACGTACGAATCGCGGGATCAGCCGACGCAACTGCAACTATCCTTTGAGTATCTAATGTCCAAGCAAACTCTGCGCTGGATTACCATCACCAGCCAGCAGGCAATGCTCATGTCTGTGTCGCTGCAGGCGATGGTCGATGAACTGCTGCACATCGACAGTAGCATCAGCGGCGGCAGCGATGATGAGCACGAGGCAAGCACATCTCGAGGCGCATCGGAATCGACCATATCGACGCCCAGCTCCGTCTCATCCTCATCCTGCACATCCACCTCGGGCATTTCGACGACAACAGCAACAGCGACAACCACGCCGCCTGTCAAGTTTCTAGCCCAGCGTTGCAAGCAGCAGCACAAGCTGACAACGGCTCGCACCTTTGCGGCCGTATTCTTTCGCAATGACGATAATGCGGCATCTGTGCGCAATGAGGCATTCGAGGGCATTGGCGACGATGATCTGTAATCTGACCGTCGATGCATGACATGTATGTTAGCTTCCTGGTGGATCTGGAAAGCAAATCGATCAGTGGAAGCATTTTAGTCTCAATCTCAGACATGATCGGACGTTAGTTTTTCCATTACATTGACTTCCTCTGAAATACTTCAATTGATAACGAGAGTGCTCAGCTTTTTGATCGTTTTCCAGCACTAATATGAAATGTGTGAATGTTGTAAGTATATAAAAAATTTGTTGTTTAGTTCATTCGTAAAAAGTGCGTCGCCAAAATAGTTTCTAAGCAAATTGTAACTGTTAGCACAAATCTAACTGTTATTAATAATGCATTATTTAAAAATGCAGCACAAATGCATAGAGTTAGTTAACGAATTCAGCTATACTTTCTGTGCCCTCCCTCCCTACCTTCCTTCCTCTCCTTGGTGCTGCCAAATTTAACGACAAATATGAAACTCGAAATGTGCATTTTATTCTGTTAAAGACAAAAGTAGTTTTATTATCAAAATACATATGAGATGATCATATTGTCTAAATGATAATTGATTAAATACCATTGTGTTGTGTTTAAGAATGCTCAGTAAGAACTATATACTTATATATGGTAATTCTTTTGTAAAAAAAAAAAAAAAACATTTTTATATGGTTACTCGACATTTCCTTTTTATATTGTAAGTATATGCCTATGCATATGCGCAGCTATTTTTTACGTTTATTATTAACAGTTGAGCAAAATATATATGTTATGAATTTTATAGAAATAAACGTAAAATGAAAATGTGAAATATAACGGTTTCATTCAACGACTGCTGTTAAATTATTTTAGCATTCTGTTAACTGGCGACTTTTGGCACTGCCAACGCGTTTGTCAAAATCGATACCGTCTGTGTTATCGATATTTCTGTCAAATGCAACAACGAAAAGAAAAAAATAGCTCACAATACTCCCAATAATAGAATTGGGACGTGTGTGATAAACAAAAACAACCAAGAAAAGCAATATTTTTATTAATACAAAATCATAATGGAACGCAACAATGGGTAAGCCTGATATTTCCACGACACATACAAGGAGTTAATGCTAAGCGAAGCTCGTGACGCATACGAATTGAAAAAAGTAAACACACAGTGTTTGCGGCTGTGTGCGTGTAGATGTGTATATGTGCACAAATGCAATATTGCGATGTTGGGGTAAACTGATTTGGCTAACCTAATATTATTACAGACGTTATCCCTATATTCGCCGCCAAGGCAGCGGCAACGGACCACACAATCATCATCACCATAATAACGCAAACTCATCGACAACGTCGTCGTCATCTACGCCATCTCCGGCATCCCTGACAAACACATCGCCGCACAGCACACAATACTCCAATAATAGCATTAATAATGCGGCAACAAACACTAATGTGCTGTATGCAGCGGTGTCGCAACAACAACAACAACAGCCGCCGGCTGTGCCCATATCGCAGCACGACGAATTAATACGTTACATTCGCGAGGCTTGGAATAAAGTAAGTGCTGGATATAGTCGGCAAAACAATTTGTAACATCTTGTGGCAGGCAACTTTTTCCGATCGTGCTTAACGCTAATGTTTTCTCATTTCCTTTGGTTGCTTACAGGTTAGCGAGCAGGGCACGCCCGTTATATATTGCAACGAATCTGATAATCAATTAAAAAATTTTAAGCCATTCAATCTGGAGGAGTATTGGGGTCAGCGCCTGGTACAGAATATACATGTAACCACAACACATCAGTAGGGAGGAATGCACAAATCAACACAATCTATAAAACAGAGACAATGGCGCATAATAACGTTAGCATATAAACTAAGTACATATGTAAAATGCTTTATAAACCACACATATGTTTTGAAAACAATTTACCAGCAAATGGCATATTTTGTAAACGGATTGCTGTTTCCACATTTACTTCGTTGCTTTTGTATTTATTCGCGATCGTTTCATGTGAAAGTATATGCAATACTTTGTATCTTTCACTATTATCAAATGCATTGCAAACACTGCCAGCTGTGAGGCAAAAAATATATATTAATCATTTCATTAATTTGATTTCAAACGGCATCCCACAAACAATTGTTAATTGTCTGCGTATTACTGACCATTTCGAAATTGTTTTGAAACAGATTGTTAAGAATGCGAGCAACTTTGAATTCCATACAAATCGCAAGAAAATAAACATAATTTAAAAAGGTTGACTTTTTTATTTGTGCCTAAGGATAGATTTAACATAAAGTATATCAAGTATACTAAGAAATACGGTAATTTTATCTATTGCTGAAAAGTTCGCAAAGGAAACCAAAAAGTGAAATATCTTAAGCAGTTATTATAAAATTATGGCTTAAATTGCCTTTCAAGGTTTTCAAATCCCGTCGGGCACAATCCACCATGAAGATACAAAACTATCGATAGTATCGATGATATAATTTATCGAAGTGCTATTCTTCGTGTATTTCTTATCTGAATGTAAAACATGGCGATAGTGACACCTCCTATAACTTATATGACAGACACCAACCTATCTGTGTTGGACAGCAGCTGATTCTTTTTATATCTTTTCAAGAGCTACAATACATAATTGTTATATATTTTAGACCTGCACGAAAATATAGCTTCATATACCCCCGTCCGCCTGTAGTTAGGCTTTTTATTCTCGGCAAAGTATTCTCTCAGATTGAAAGCTACAATTGATAATACGTTGCACGAGCAAACAATAAATATTAATATTTAACACAAGTATGTATGTTTAAATATTTTTATTTAATTTTGTTTTTATTATCAATATTGCATGCAAATCTTAAAACAGGCACATGGTTGTATTTTGAAATTTAGTTTTGCGCGCTTTTTGACTGGTTTTGGCGCGAATTTGTCATAGGCCAAGCAAAGCTCTTTGCGGAAAGTCGAATATAACATTCATTCAAAACAAAAATGGTGAGCCCCTGTAAAAATGCAGAATCTCCGAGCAAAGATTCAGCCGCCATGCTGAAAAGGCGTATGGACTGGAATGCAATGGACATCTCGCCGACCAAGAGGTCAGAACCCATGAAGGAGAATCACCAGGATAACCGGATGACAGAACAGTCCAAAGATGTTGCCATCTGTGAGAACATGGATGAAAAGCAGTATTTGCTATTCATAGACAGGATTATTAAGAATGGAGATAAGCGCGTCGATCGTACTCGGGTGGGAACCTTGTCAATATTTGGCGGCCAAATGCGCTTCGATTTGCGTGACTCGTTTCCGCTGCTGACCACGAAGCGTGTATTCTTTCGAGGCGTGGCCGAGGAACTGCTGTGGTTCATTGCCGGCAAGACCGATGCCAAGATATTGCAGGCAAAGAAAGTCCACATATGGGATGCTAACAGCACGCGCGAGTTTCTGGACAACTGCGGCCACACCGAACGGGCTGTCGGGGATCTGGGTCCGGTTTATGGATTCCAGTGGCGTCACTTTGGCGCCGAGTATCGCACTTGCGATGACGATTACACCGGCCAGGGTATTGACCAATTACAACAAGTGATACATACGATTCGAACTAATCCCTCGGATCGTCGCATTATTATGTCCGCCTGGAATCCGATGGATATACCCAAAATGGCGCTACCGCCGTGCCATTGCCTAGTTCAGTTCTTTGTCTCGCAGTCCAAGGGCGAATTGTCCTGCCAGCTATATCAGCGCAGTGCTGACATGGGTCTCGGCGTTCCCTTCAACATTGCCTCCTACGCTCTGCTCACCTATTTAATAGCCCATGTGACGGGTCTGAAACCCGGCGAATTCATCCACACCATAGGCGATGCTCACGTTTATCTCAACCATATAGAACCGCTGCAGCAGCAGATAAAACGTAGCCCCAAGCCCTTTCCCAAGCTCAACATTAAGCGCCAGGTTACAAATATTGAGGACTTTCGCTACGAAGATCTTGAACTTGTTGGCTACAATCCCGATAAGACGATTCCAATGGAGATGGCCGTTTGAAACGGAGCATTTTAACAATTTTTTCTCACTTGTATTAGAAATAAAGTTTGGTGTATATATTATTCAATTACATGCAACTTGTTTTCATTAACCGTGTTTGGAAATTGCACAGACTCAAGAGATAAGGCAGGTATTTTACTTTTTTCAATATCCATCTGTTACATGCTTGAAACTGGAGATTTATGTAAATATATGTAAGATTGTATAACACAATGTTTCTCTTCAAATAAAGAGTATTACTGATGAGCTGCCAAAGAGTTCTTCAACTGATTTGCGAACATCCACTGGAGAGACGTCGATAGGCAGGAGAGTTTAAGTTGTTAACGCCCTGTAAGAGTATTCGACAGTCGGTGGTACTCGTTTGAAATATTCTTATTCAGGTCGTACCGAGTACAAAGCCAATTTCTGCTACAGGGCTGGAAGATTAGTTTGCCCGGAATCGGAATAACGAAACCCACTCGGTTACTATCCGGGAATACAACAAATGAATGTGATAGAAGATGGCAATGCTCCAAGACTATTTTTATGAATGTATAGTTCATTATTTATCAGAAACGTTTATTCTCCCAGCTATCCTGGCCTAGACGGAGGTCTCCACTTGTTTCGCTTCGCTTATTTTGTATCTTAGCTTTCCGACCAGAAATGTGAAAACACTTGATTTTGTGAACGGCATTTTGGTACTTTCATAAAAAGAGTTAATTTTATTTCTTTCGCTGTTGCCAGACCGTTTTTGTTTTAAACTATTACACTGCAAAACTCTGCCTTAGACCATCTTGCGCAGCAATCTGTTGATCTTGTCCTCGCGGTTGCCGAAGTCACCACCGTTAACGTAGTGATTGGCCTTCTTGCGCCAGCCGCCGGTGGGCGTGTTCAGTTTGAATGGCCACAGGAAGTTGGAGGCATACTTGAAATTGGGTCCCACAGTGAAGATCTCATGCACCAGATCCTCAACGCACTGAATGTCATGGGCCTTACGCAGCTTGCGCTCAATAACAAAGTTATCGGTGATGGGCACACGCTGGCGATTGTGCTTGACAAAGCCGCGCTTGTAGATCAGCTCGCGCACCGACTTCAGATTGGGATAGCCCCAGGTAATGTAAGGCTCAGCAATACGCAGCATATTGATGGTGGCCTTGTTCAGTTTAATGAACACGCCATTGTTGATCTGGCGCAAGCGGAACAGCTGCAGCACTTTACGCACCTTTGGTGCAACCTTGTTGATACTGCAAAGCACATTTAACATTAACAATAACATCATGAGTTGACTGGCGACAAGTTCACTTACCCACGGATACGCACTACAAATGCCAATTTGGCCTCTGCGGGCACGTAAAATTGGTTGCGCTTCTTGGCCAAGCGGCGCAGCTTGATCTCACGCTGATCGGCCTTGATGTACTCGTTCTGGTACTTCTGGGCACGCACCAGATTCTCCTTCTTGCGCAGGGCAATGACAGCGGCACGCTTCAGGCGACGTTTCGTCTCAGAAACACGCTTGCTGATTTGTTTCTTGCTGAACTTAAGCTTGGATTCCGGCACAGCGGGCAGCTTTTTAGCTGCTGGTTTCTTAGCGGCCGGGGCTGGCATCTGTTTAAGGCACAAATTTTGAACATTTTAGAGCGGTTCTCGTTGGGAAAATTGAAAATGTAACACTAACCTTTTACTCGACACTATGCACGTTGGTAAAAGAAAGGGAAAGAAAGAGCGGAAGCTTGAAGTACGCCATGTTCCGAATGTCAAAACATAGTCAAAGCATCCCTGTGTGGCAGTGTTGTGATGCGCCGTGTTAACAATTGTGTTGTATTTCGATAAATTATTATCAATTATCGATAAATGAACAGCTGGGATTGGTGGTGCTCGCCCGCGCATTTCGCATTCTGTGCCTAGCCTTAAGTTTCATTGGTATTATTGGGAATTTAATAAAATGCAGTGCCCCAGCAGTCCCGTCTACAATACAAGTGTCGAGCAGAAACGGCACGCACAAAATGTGGCTAAACAACAACGCTTGGGCATGCCAAAATTACGTGAACTACTTCGGGAGGTAAGCCGCAAGCCATAAAATGAGATACTTATTTGGAAACAAATGCAAATTGTTTATTTGTTTAACAGAAATGTCGTATTCGCATTCTAAATGCACGCAAGGACAAAGTCGATGGCAATCGGAAAATGCAGTTGGTAACTAGAGCAACTAAAGACACTCATTGATTAACTTAACTAATTGGTTTGCAGTCGGAGCTGGAAGACATTTTGCGTTTAGAGCTCAACGAGCTGGATCAGAATTTGCAATTGGAGCAGCATGTCTTTGAGGAGCTCCTCAACGATGTCAACGAATGGTATGCCCTCCAGGAGCAGCACTTGGAAGCACTGTACACTGAGCCCGATGCCGACCCCAATGTCCTTTCATTAATCTGTCCCGTATGCTTGATTAAGTCGATGCAGCGCATCAAATCGCTGTACACATGCGAGTGTGGAGTACACTTTGAGCATAGCGCAGAGATGCCACAATTGCAGGCACTGATTCAGCAGAAGGTCAACGAGCATGAACTCAGCTGCACCCAGGCGCTGCGATTCTTCATTGAAGCGGAGTCTTCGAGCAGCCGTTTGTTTGCGATGTGCGGTAGCTGCGATTATTGCTGCTCTGTTTAACAAATAATCTTCATTTTGCCGCTGGCTTTTTGTATTTGCGAGGTATGTTTAAGTTTGTAAATAAATTAAGAAAACATTGAATTATAAAAACGCCATTTATGTACTTCTGTCAGCTTAGGATTCGTCGCATACAACCTCGATCTGGTTGTCGCCCGCTTGGATACCGCTGTGCAGCTTCTCTCCCTTCTGATAAGCCCAAGACATGCGTTGCGTTGTAAAGTATATGCCCAGCTGTCCCCGGTGATCAATAGCTATTATGCCAGCCGTTTCCTTAAAACGCAAGGTCATCTTTTGAAGCACTTGTTCGGCTGCCTGTTGTATTGTACAATTCTTGTGCTGCACCAGCGCCAATATGCGCGAGGCAACATTGTAACGCATAATGGTCTCACCATGTCCGGTGGTTGATATGGCGCCTATCTCGTTATCTGCATAGGTGCCAGCACCCAGCAGTGGCGAGTCACCAATCCGGCCTGGTAGTTTTCCCATCGTGCCACCTGTTGATGTCGCTGCTGCCACATTGCCGAAGGCATCAATTGCCACGGCACCAACGGTACCTGGAGGAATGGGGAGCCTGCTATTTCCCGATTTATTCCTGCGTAGTTTGTAATCGTTTAAAGATTTTTGTGCCCTTTCTGTAATCAGCGCCGCCTTGGGCAGTATATCGAATCCTTCGCTTCGGGCTAGTTGCATAGCGCCATCGCCAGCCAAATAGCTATGCCGTGACTTCTCCATGACACACCTTGCCAGTGTTATAGGATGCTGTATATCACGGACCAAAGAGACGCAGCCGGCCTCCATTTCAGTGCCATCCATTATGGCAGCATCCATTTCCACCGTGCCCTCCCAGGTAAGTGCGCTTCCATACCCGGCATTAAAGTGGCTATCTTCCTCCAACGATTTTACTGCCTGCTCCACAGCGTCTAAAACGCTCCCCGTCTGCTGTAGCTGCTTGTAGCCACTGCGGGCTGCTCTCTTAATGCCAATCTTAATGCCCGGCACCTTGGCATCGTCTATAGACCCAGCTCCACCATGCACCACCACAATGGGCTGTAATGATTCACTACTCAAGCTGCTTTCCTTACGCTGAGCTGTTCTTTTGCATAAACTTGGGATTTGTAGAAATTTGTTAAGCAACCTAAGGCTTATACGCATTTTTGCAGCTTGCTTCGCTTACATTTTCAAATGCCCAAAAAATTCCCAAATTATCTGAAGAACCTTTAGGTTTCTAGCTGAAAAGGTAAAGCCTGCCACTGTCCAAAGCCTACATGAAATCCATTGCAAGGGACCATTTATACCCAATAAATGTAACATATATGGTAGTCTGACTTAAGTGTCAGTTGGTAATACCCTTTTTGTGTCAGGCAATATGTTGAATGAGCGCCAAATCGCATATTGGTATCTCAACCGGAAAGGCTTTCGTTTCTTAAATTGTTTAAAAATTACATATATATGTATGTATGTACATATTATTATCTCTTTTTAGTCGGGCATACCTGTTCGCAATATCACTTAATGCCAACTGGTACAGGGTATGCATAAGAATAACAGACATACGTGAGAGCTTTTGCACGATCTTGCACGTGCATGCTCGCAGTCTTTCTCTCTCTCTCTCTCTCGCTCTCGCTCTCTCTCGGTTTTTGAAGCACGCACAGCTTCTCAACGAGTGTTCTTTAACATGTGTTTACCGTTTCTTTCAGTACGTTGCGTTCTTCGGCTGCAGACGGTTGGGCAGCATTTAACGGGAACTTTTTCGGCATTCTTCGAATCAGTCGAAACGTGCGCATATTTCTTTTAATGTCTCTGCTATTTTGTTTATATTCAAAATAATTACGATAAAATCCCATAATTAAAAGTAGAACGTACACGCGGCATGCGTTTTATGTACATACATACATACATATGTATGTACATACTTTATTCCGTCGACTTACATAGATACATTGTGTGTATCTGAAATACGAAATTTCGTTTGGAATATAGCAGTACAATAGCATCTATGAATAAGTTAATGTGTATAATTGTAATTGCGAAATAATTTGTTTACATTTTCGATTTTCTGTGCGGTTTTCAAATATTGAATTTTCGGTGAGCAAAATTGGCAGAGTGTACAAGCTCAACACTCGGATGTACTCTATATACGATGTGTATCTAAAATGATGTCTAAAACATATTAAAAAAAAAAAAAAAAACAAAATGATGTGCCTAATCAAATACTTGAACTTGTCTTACGGTCTTATGGTTCTAAATTAATGCTAATATAGCTTTACGGTGCGCTGATCTCCAGGAATTGCACGAAAATGGTACAATTCTTTAATCCTATACGCTGCGATCAGTTGAGTGGTCATTCGCGTGATACATATGATAATCTACAAACCGATATTTGTGGCATAGATCGTGTCAAATACATTTCGACCTGTTTCGCCATATTGATGCTATTCGTTGGATCCATTTATGTGTGGCGAAAATATGACGCGTAAGTCTGATCTACTCTAAACTAACTAGTTAAGCATTTCAACTAAAAAACAAATATTTCAAGAGCCTTCTTATATACTCGAAATACATGCCAGCCGCATATGTATATGTATGTGTGCATGAGCTAACAATTTCTATCTCATTGATGAAAAATCCGCCCTATTCAAATTATAATGCTTGCCGCATGTTCTCTTTCAATATTTTATTTTTATAATATTTAACTCGAGCTAAAGCTATTTTAAAATCATATTGGAATATTAATTGGAAAAATTCGTGACCAATTTATTGAAAACTTTTGCCCTATTCGAAATTTCTGAACAATTTTGGAACCAAGCAGCCCTTGAAAATTTAAATCAACTTTCATATGCTACATAACCGGAAAAGTTCATTCGTATTATAGATCTCCAGTTGAAAACAATCTTTTGTGTGGCTTTTACACAAATTTTGTATTTTGTTTTAAACATTTTTTTTTAGTTTTTTGAGTCAAATATTGTTTATTTTTTTTTAAAATGCCGCCTCCTACTATTTCAAAAGTTGTTATGCCTATACTGTTGCGAACTCTTCTGCCCACTGTGGGTCGCAATCTGGTGCAAAGTCGATCAAAATCCGTATTACTGCAGCAGATGTCCAAGGGATATTCGTTGGGACGGACGCTTTGGAAGCGCTGACTAGGGAACCTGTTGCTTGTGACCTCCGGCGATTCCAAAGAACAATCTGTGATATGCTGGATGATTTGAGGGACTGCCCGATTCGTGATGTCTATTGTTGCCTATATATCCAAAATTTTCAAAGCGTATTTTAAATGTACTTCTATGTAAATTAAACTCGTTTAAACTGTCGTATAAACTTAAAGGGAATTTTGTGCTTTAATTGCTTTTAAAAAATCGGCCAAATTTGGCAAACTGGCTGAATACACTTGGCTGGGCAAAGCCGGGTGATGCCAGCTCTTGATCGTTACTCCTTTTACTTGGGCTATATCCACAATCCATCAGGATAATCACATAGAAATGATTCCTGATGCCGTTCACATAATTCCACAAGAGTTGACTTGATATATTATCGTTTTTTTTTTCCGAGATTCGAAAACCTAATGCTGACTGAATCTAATAAGAAAACTTGTTTCCTTATGACGAATAGATTAACTATTTTGCAAGAACAGTCGAATTACGGTTGGGAAAGACTTTATTCTTTTTTACTACCTCGCAAATCTAAATAGAAGTAAAGCTGTGTTAACTTGTTGAAAATTGGCTTAATGCTTTCATTTGTTAGTCAGTTAAATTGAACTTGCAACGGGGCAGCCCTTGAGATTTCAATTCGAGCTAGATGTATTTGGAAAAACGAATGAATTTAGTTTTCATATAGGCATTAATGTGCGCACACGTGTTCACATTTCAAGTTGAAAAAATTTATTTGTTTGTGCATTGTTTTGAACGTATTTCTTTCTAAAATGCTGGGTTTAGTTCTTAAGGTAATTGTGCCCGTCCTGATGCGCTCCATGATACCATCTGTGGGCCGTAATCTCGTCCAGTGCGGATCCAAATCGTGTTTGTCGCTGCCATTGCGCAGGGGCCTACATATGCGACATGGACTAGAAGTGGTGCGATCACA